GCTGTGTCCCTCCCTCCTCCTGACATCCTGCTTTTCTCTCTGCCGCACAGCCCCCTTCACTCCCCTTTCCCTTTCCCCGTACTTCCAAGCTGACGCACCCCGTGGACCCAGTTTTCCCCTCACCATCTCAGTAGGCTGTAGCCTTCAAATTGTGTTCACCGACTTCCTTGGCTAGTCCCAATGGATTTCTGACCTACTCATTCCAAATGCCACCAGACGTCTTTCCCAATTACCTGGTCCTTCCATGCCTTATTACAGCATTAAGCTGTTAGTCCTTTCTTAGAAAGAAAAAAAGAATTTAAGGAGCAGCTTCACACTGAGCCAGTTCATTACCTAGTTAAGTACTACTGCTACTGAGAGAGGCTCTCTAAGATCTTAGGCTAAAGTGTTTCTGCTACTCAAGGTTCTTTAAACGGAGATGCCAGTGGTGAGAGGTAGGACATTTCTACATGCTGAGCAGGTGCTTTTCTCCTGGATTCTGTCTCCTCACCTTCTTTATTTCTAGAGCTTACTGAGCATATAAAGCCCCCTGGCCCATCTAGCTCACTGCATTCAAATATCATACAGACAAAGCACCCATTGTTCCACCAGGTGAATGAGACTCAACTCCTCAAGGTCACGTGGCCCTTTCTCCTCTCCTCAGGATTTGAAGTTTGTTCATGTCATGAATAAACTGTGGCTTTTGATGACTTCTGAATAGAGCTTCAGGCAAAGAAAGCATAACACCTGGTACCCAAGATCTTTTACTGGCAACACCAGAGATTGAACCTGAGGCCTTCTGTAGAAGCTCTACCACCGAACCAAGAACCCCTCCTCAGTAAAAGGCTCAAAGCTGGTTCCTCTCTAGTGACGCAAGTACTTCCTTAGACCACTGAAGTCAGCTGACAGTATGACATCATCTGCAGGCTAAACTGCAAGTCAATAGCAGAAGATGCTGAAAGGTACACAGCATACCTAGAAAGACGCCGTAGGTTAGCATTCCGCCCAAGCTGGCTGTCAAGAGGTTCTTGATAACACCGAGACGCTTGCGGCGGAAATATTTGCGTTCTTCCTCCTCTTCATTGTACTCAGCATGAGCCCCCACAAAGTCATCTAGCTGGAAACAGAAGTATCACAAGGGGTTGGCTGAGAGGAACATACTAACAAATCACCAAGACAGAGATGTAGTATACTCTATTTCTCCAAGAGAGTTGAGGAATGTAATCAAAACCTGTGATTAAGGGCAATTAACCAAATTGCAATTGACCAAATAGTCAATGTACTATTCTCAATGGAAAGATGCGTTTTGCTGTTGTTTCATTTTAAATTTCTTACTGGAAATAAGTACCACGTGTGTGCATTTGGTGGGGCACTGAGGGCGGTGCCCCCTATCGAATCAGCAGCGCCCCTATCATATTTGCATACCCTCACTGCTGACTGCAATAAAACTTTCAAGTAAGTAGGCTGGGAGTGGGACCTTTCCCCCTGCAGTCTGCTTTTCTCCCTGGGAAACTTGCTTTGCTCTCGCCCAGGCTGGCCTTGCTGGTGGCGCTGGCCTTGCTCCACAGCTCACCTCCAGCTAACCCAACTCTCCGGCCAGATGCACTGTGCCCCCCCCCTTGAAAAAATTCCTGGCTATAGGGCTGGAACCACATGTAACAAGAGTCAAACTTTTAGCATGCTGACTGGGCATGCAAAGAAGTTTTTTTCCAGCATGGAAGAAAGCAAGCTCTGCCACAACGTTTTTTGGAAAAAACGTTTTGAGTTCCCTCATGATGGGAGAATATAGTTTTGCTTCCAGAAAAGGACTATGCATGACACTTTTTAAAACCCTGCAACTCAGGGCTAAATAGAAGGACACACACACAACTTTGAAAGATCAAAAAGAGCTAGGCTTAAATTTAGGTGCTCCTCTTTGAGGTGAAGGAAGCTTTAGTGACAAAGTTGTCCCTTCTATTTTTCTCAGGGTTACATGAGCATCTCCACTACTGCTCTTGCACGAGAATGCGTCACTAATCCATGCAGATATTTTTTTAAAAAATAATTAAACTAGTAAAAACCCTTTTAACATTTTTAAAAATGGGATAGAGGTAGTGTATTTATTGTTTATTTGTGAGAAGGAGGGCAGCATGCTATAGCCCAATCTCAGAAGCGATGTAGGGCTGGTACTCAGAAGGAAGACCCCCAAGGTCGCCAAGGAAAACGGCACTGGCCAACCATCTCTGCTTCTCCCTTGCCTTGAAGGCCCTTTGCTGGGGTGGCCATAAGTTGCTGCAACTTGATGGCACGTTACACACATACACATTGCTTGTTCGCAACACATATTCAGTGGGGTAAAATAAATAGCAATAAAAAATTAAATCAAAAAATGTATTGAGGTTTCACACCTTACATTCCTTAAGTGACCATTGCTTTTTCCACGTGACAGAATAGTGAACCTTAAGGGCTGGGGAAATGCACCGCCCTTCAAGAGAAGAGCTTTCTCAAGGCAGGATGTCTTGAGGCCTTCACCACCACCACCACCACCACCACCTGCGCACTGATTATTCTTTTAATTGGCAAAGAGGCACTTCCCCATACACAGGAGTGGGCGGGGGCGTAAGTTCCCAAAGCAGGGAAGCCACACATGCATTTTTAAATTTAAAATACATGTACCCTGTTTAATCCTGCCAACCTAGCAGTTGGAAAGCAAGACATTGCAAGTCCCACTTTGGTGGGAATGGAACTTCCCTGCGCCTCGGTGTTTAGTCATGCCGGCCACATGACCACGGAAACGTCTTCGGACAGCGCTGGCTCTTCGGCTTGGAAACGGAGATGAGCGCCGCAACCCTAGAGTCGGACTCGACTGGCTTTCGAGCAAGGGAAACCTTTACCTTTTTTTACCCTGTTTAAACCCTCCAGGTAGTTATAGAAAGAGGGGGGTGGTTAGGCTGGAGTAAGGGGTCCGCTCACCTGAACCTCTGCGCCTTCCATCGCCCTGTTCACCACGCCCAGCCCTTGGCCGTCGGGCGCCGCTCCGTTCCCCACCGCTCCCCGGTGCGCGTCGCCGCCTGCAGGGAACACGCGGCGGACAAGGGAAACGAAAGAGAAACTCGCTCGCCCTTCTTCTTCCCCAAACCTCTTTAAGTTGCGAGAACCTCCGTTCTGCCACCACCCCCTCCGTTCTGCCACCACCCCCTCCGTTCTGCCACCACCCCCT